ACGGTCAGGGGTCCCTTTACCTTCTATTTAGTGCAGCAAAAGTGCTAAAGGACCAGAGGCCATGTTGTCATGTGTATATGCAGGAGCGACTGGCGGTGCAAGAGGACGGAACAGTGCTGACCCCCCCTCCCCGACAGCGGTGTCACTGCTACTTATCAGGACAGGGGGGCATAGAATTCAGAAGGCAAAGTAAATCCCTGTGTTTGCCTGGGGTCCATAGGGTGAGAGGGGTTCCTCATGGGGGGAGGGAAATGGGCCCCCCCTGCCCTTGTCCTGCCCACTACTCTATTCTAGCAAGCAGCAGCAGGACTGCTGCTCAGAGTCTCGCTATCTGCCACCACCACGTTGTCAATTTCTGTGTATATCTACGGTATCAGCATTATTATTAGTATTATTTAAAAAAAATAAATTACCGTATTTTTCGCTCTATAAGACGCACTTTTTCCCTTCTAAAAAGTAAGGGAAAGCGTGTGTGCATCTTATGGAGTGAATGCAGGCTGCGTGGCTAAGCCAGAAGCCAGAACAGGGAGAGGGAGCGCTGCGCAGCGCTCCGTCTCGCTGTTCTAGCTTCGGGCTTTGCTGCACAAAGCCTCCAGAGGGCAGCGGGATGAAGGCACCCCGCTGCCCTGCTGAGGCTTCACAAGCTGTCCCAGAAGCCTCCGCAGGGCACGGGGATGAAGGCTCCCCGTGCCCTGTGGAGGCTTCGCGCAAAGCTAGACCAGCTAGACGCTCCCTCTAGCTATTCTGGCTTTTGGATGGCCCCGCGAAGCCTCTGCAGGGCACAGGGATGAAGGCTCCCCGTGCTCTGCGGAGGCTTCACGCAAAGCTAGACCTGCTATCCCAGGAGCTATCCCAGAAGCCAGAACAGCAAGAGGCTATCCCAGAAGGCAGATCCCTCTTGCTGTTCTGGCTTCTGGGATTCAGAATCCCCCCCTTATTTCCTCCCCCCCAAACTAGGTGCATCCTATCATCTGGTGCGTCCTATAGAGCGAAAAATACGGTATTAAATTTTCACAATTATAACAAATACAACATAACCAAAAACAAAAACAAAAACAGAGAAACATACCAAAGAGAAAAAACGATACATTACAATACTAAAAAAAAACCCAAAACCCAAACCACAACAGTAAAAGACGCAATCTTTATCCCATATCCCTTGAAAACCAAATTTTGTTTACATTGTTAATTGACTTCCTCAAATCCCTCCCTTCTGAATTTCCTTGTACCTGCATGTAACAGCTTTCCAATATCATTCTTAAACAAAAATATTTCCAACTATTATCTAACTTAGTCACTTTTCTTCCTGTTCTGAATCCCATTTATTTAATTAAATCCTAATTTAATCCTAGGCCTATTTAGTACTTTCAAGTGATTTCTAATTTTTTTATATTACGGTATCAGCATTATTATTATTGACTGATTGATTGCCTACTAAACAACCGTCTCAAGGCCACATACACTAAAGATAATGAAAAGCACCAAACTCGTTTCAACAACAAAAGCTTAAAATCAATAACAGCAGTAGCAAATTCATTTAAAACAAAACTAAAACCATACAAAGTTGCCATTTGTGGCAAAGACCCATTTATCCAGCCAGGAAAGTCTGCTATAGCAATGTCTTCAATGGTTTCTGGAAAGTGCCACTAGTGGCCAACTGTTCTTATCTTGACATTCCACGGAATAGGAGTACCGAATTTTTCGCTCTATAGGATGCACTTTTCCCCCTCCAAAAATGAAGGGGAAATGTGTGTGCATCCTATGGAGTGAATACAGGCTTCAGGCAGCTATCCGTAAGCCTTCTGAGTTCCCGCCGTGCTCCGAAGGCTTGCAGATAGCAGCCTGCAGCTTGAAGCCCGGGGTGCGCAGCGCCAACTGCCGCTGCGCTCCCCAGGCTTCAGGCAGTTATCCGCAAGCCTTCGGAGCCCGGCGGGAGTTCCCGCCAGGCTCCGAAGGCTTGCGGATAGCAGCCTGTTCTGGGGGCTGGGGTTGGGGGAAGCTTGGGCTTCCCCCGCCCCCAGCCCCGCAAGCTCCGGGAGCGGCGGCAAGGTTGCGCACAATCTTGCCGCCGCTACTGGACCTGTTCTGGTTCCCCTGCCCCAGCCCTGCAGCTAAAAACAAAGCCAAGACAGTGAGCGGGATCCATCCCGCTCGCTGTCTTGGCTTCTGCCAAAGCTGCGCGCAGCCTCTCCCAGCTGGAGAAGTTGCGCGTGGCTAAAGAGGAAGCCAAGACAGCCAGTGGGATGGATCCTGCTCGCTGTCTTGGCTTCTTTGCTCTTTGGGTCTGGGGCGGGGGATAAAAACTTTTTTCTTTATTTCCCCCCTAAAAACTAGGTGCGTCCTATGGTCCAGTGCGCCCTATGGAGCGAAAAATATGGTAACTATTTTAAAAGCCCTGCTCACAGTTACTGTGGAGTGGGCTTTGGAGAGCTTTCTAACTTGCAGGGAAAACTCTCCTGCAGACTGCAGCGATCTGCTGGGTGCATAAGATGATCTCTCAAGTAATGTTAAAAGAAAAGTAAAGGACCCCTGGATGGTTAAGTCCAGTCAAAGGTGACTATGGGATTGCAGCGCTCAACTCATTTTCAGGCTGAGGGAGCTGGCGTTTGTCCACAGACAGCTTTCTGGGTCATGTGGCCAGCATGACTAAACCGCTTCTGGTGCTATGGGACACTGGGAAACCAGATTGCATGGAAACACCGTTTACCTTCCTGCCGCAGCAGTACCTGGCGTGCTTTTGAACTGCTGGGTTGGCAGGAACTGGGACTGAGCAACGGGAGCTCACCCATTCGCGGGGAATCAAAGCACCAACCTTTTGATCGGCAAGCCCAAGAGGCTCAGTGGTTTAGACCACAGTGCCACCAGCGTCCGTGATCTCTCAAGTATCCTGTGCCTTACACGTTAGTACCAATTCCTTGAACTTGCCCTGGTGGCAAATTGGCAATCCTTCAAGAATGTGTTATAAATTGCTGATTGTTTTCCAAACAAACAACCCAACTGCTGCCTTCTGCCCCAGTTGCCACCTCCAGACCACCTCCAAGGGCAGCCCCACATAGAGTGTGTTGCAGTAATCCAACTGAAAGGTTACCAGCACATGAACATGTGCGGTCAAGCTAACCATGAACAGCTGTAGCTTTTTTTCTACCAATTGAAGTTGGTAAAAGGTACTCTAAAACATGTGGAAGGCATGGTGAAAGCAGCTGTAAATGATCATTGTGATTCATGTGGCTGAGTCAGATTGAGGCCAAAGCCTGGCCTAAGATGAAAAACAGTGCTTTGACGATGTTCATCAGATGTACTCTAACCCTCCTTGAAATCCTGAATTGTCAGACATATACTGGCAGCAAATCGAACACTTGCTAAAGATCTCCAGTCATGTTCTTCTCTGCTGGCTCCACTGTTCGCAGCCACTGCCACCGCCTCCCCCACTGCCATTTTCCTGCTGCTGAGACTGGGGTAAGCTGGGGAGCCAACAGCAGGATACTCCATTAGCGTTTCCCTAGTGAGGAGAGGATGCAACCATGGTAGGAAAAAGGAGACAGCAGCAGTAGCAATCCATGAGGAAGGACAAGACTGAAAAACTTCAGCTTTATATACATTATTTACACAATGGGCCCCACATGATTGGCTAATTCTGGGATTCTCCTGTAGGCCAATCAGGTTGCGGATTCACTTCCACCTGGAGTTGGATTGGGTGGCTCCTGCGGACCAATCAGACTGCTGCATTCTGACTCCTATTGTTCTAGGACCAATCAGACTGCTGCATTCTGACTCCTATTGTTCTAGGACCAATCAGACTGCTGCATTCTGAATCCTATTGTTCTAGGACCAATCAGACTGCTGCATTCTGAAGCCTATTGTTCTAGGACCAATCAGACTGCTGCATTCTGAATCCTATTGTTCTAGGACCAATCAGACTGCTGCATTCTGAATCCTATTGTGCTAGGACCAATCAGACTGCTGCATTCTGGATCCTATTGTTCTAGGACCAATCAGACTGCTGCATTCTGAATCCTATTGTTCTAGGAGCAATCAGACTGCTCCATTCTGAATCCTATTGTTCTAGGACCATTCAGACTGCTGCATTTGAATCCTATTCAACTCAGTACATAACAGATAGGAACATAGGAAGCTGCCTTGTACTGAGTCAAACCATTGGTCCATCCACCTCAGTATGGCCCTTCCCCAGTTTACATATCTGGATATTTGTTGGTTCAGATTTAGAGGCGGCCTCAGCATGCAATGAAAAACAGAGAGGAATATTGACTTAGAAGGGCATTTCACTGTCTCCACAAGGCAAAGCTATCACTGAAAAGACTGCTTACAAACTAGTGGGGAGATGGCTGGAAGTAAATAAGAGCCCTGACACATGCTACAGTTATTCACTGCCAGCTCCCAAAACCATAAAATAAAAAAATACTCCTCGTAACCAATGATTTGGAGCAGTAGAGATCATTACATTTTTTTAAAAAATGGTCTTTTATTTTGACCTCATGCTGAAATAATAGTATTTATAGTGCAATCTTATAATTTTCCTATCTTAAATTTGGTTCTCCACATTTCTGCCTAGATTTTCATTTTTTAATTTAAAAAGTCGGCATGAAAATTCAAGTGCATCCTCATACTCATTTATCCTAATACACACATTTTCTTTTGGAAAGTGCATTTCTGCTTGCACTTTCTCATCAGTAAAACTCGCTTTTGCATTTTCACTAATATTGATGTATGTGTGGGCGCTTTTCATTGCTCTACGCAGTTCTGTATTGCCAAATTTGGACCAGTGCAGATTGCAAAGGAGAGCTGCCTTTCAGTACATGTGCTGGCCTAGAAATTGCGACTTTTGTAGACCAATATTAAAATGTGACCCGAATGAACTTCTTCCCCATTCTTACTTGAGAACAGGTCCCACTTTGTTTGACAGGGCTCAGTCCCAGGTAAGTGACTATGGCTTTGCAGCCTTAAAGTTTTTGTTGTGAAACTGAAGGGTAAAAGAAACTTACCTTGTAAACAAAAAGTTAAGTATTTCAAGATTCCTGGTCCTTATCTCCTACATCCATGTGGAATCCCCTCTACAGCTGTTGCATCTGAAAGGAGCATTGATGGGGAAGAAGAAACCACATGGGAAAATAATTAAGGAGGTACCAGAAAACCCATCATCATAGTCCCTTAGCTCCGGACTTTAGGACATATTTCAAGACTTCTGTCAATCTCCTAGCTCTACGAGGGTGAAATTCGGGGTAGTAACAGTGGTCCATATGCAGTGGCATTAAGAAGAAAAATGGCCCAGGGTATTTTTGTAGGATGGGTGACTTTAAATCTACCTCACAGGAAAGGCCATCTTGAATTCCTTGGAAAAATGGTGAGATACACCGTATCTTTGGAAGAATGTAGTGGTTATCAGCAGTGGCATGCAATGATTTTTGGGGGGTAGGTTAGGGACAGAGGTGCCAGCTTGCAAGGGTGATGGGGGGGGGGGACGTCATGTGTGTTATGTCACGACATCCTGATCATAGCTGTCAATTTACAGATTTGAAAATAAGGGACCAGCAGCCTCGAAAATAAGGGATCAGCAGCCAAAATAAGGGATTATTTTATTGTTATTACTACTATTATTATTATTATTTTTTTTTTCCCACCATGTGCCCCCGCTCCAGACAGACCTTTTCCCTGGAAAGGGTGAGTGGGCCGTCGATGACATATCCATCCGATTCCAAACACAGGTATGTTCAACTCTGAGCCCCTCCGAGCCAAAGGCAGAAAGCCCAGCCAGCAGCCCAATGAATCCTCAAGCGGTGGTTCCCACAGCGCAGCAACCCAGCAAAGGGAATGCAGCAAGGAAAAACACTGTCACCTCTCCGCTGGGAAGCGCTGAGCAAAGGCAAGTCCCCAGGCAACACAGCTGATTTGATCGGCACAAGGCATGCAAGCTCCACCCCCCAGTCATTCTTAGACTCCTTATTGTGTGAGCAACGCAGCCAAGCAACACAGTTGGAGCCTCCCTCCACCCTGGCCAGCAGGGAGGGAGGGAGGGAGGGAGGGAGGGAGGGAGAGGAGCTGCTTCCTTTGAAACCCGGAAATTTACGGGATATCATCAATCCGGGACAGCAGCGGGACACAGCGCTGGGATAAGGGAGTTTCCTGCCAAATAAGGGACTGTTGACAGCTATGATCCTGATGTTTTGGGTGTGAGTATAGTGTCTCCCTTCCTAAGCCAGGCAGAAGTTTCCCAGGCTTTGGGAAAGAGGCTCCGGGATTTAATACTTTAATACTCTGATTTATAGGAAACATTTAGGAGACTAGCCTAGTCCCCCTAGTACACTTCAGCAAAACAAAACACCAGTAGTTGTAAATGGGAGATACGCTTAGGCCTTGCTTGCGTGCTCTCCCTCCCAAATGGCTGAAATGGTGGTCCTAACTTTGTAACTTCTAAACTGGTCGATGAAGCTGGGAGAGTCAGCCATAATAAAAAAAATGTGGAACACATGAAAAATGGAGAGGTTCCGTTGACATTCAAGTGGTGGCAAACCAGCTTGTCGTTATTGCTGTTACATTTGGCTTCTCTCCTTGTTTAAGTACACCCCATGCGCTTCCAAAGCTGGCATGGGTTGGCAAAGGCCCCCATCCACCTGCCTCTCTATGTACACGCTGTACTGTCAACAACAACCATAACAACAATTAGGCACAAATCTGCTCAGTTGTCCATTCGTTCCCCTCAATTTTTATATGATTCCTTCATTTTGACTCTCAAACTTGCTGCTTGATTGAGTTACAAATGAAGAAGAAGAAGAAGAGTTTGGATTTGATATCCCGCCTTTCACTCCCTTTAAGGAGTCTCAAAGCGGCTAACATTCTCCTTTCCCTTCCTCCCCCACAACAAACACTCTGTGAGGTGAGTGGGGCTGAGAGACTTCAAAGAAGTGTGACTGGCCCAAGGTCACCCAGCAGCTGCATGTGGAGGAGCGGAGACGCGAACCTGGTTTCCCAGATTACGAGACTACCGCTCTTAACCACTACACCACACTGGCTCTCAATGAAGTACAGTTGTACATTGGTTATTGAACTTAATCCGTTCTGGTAGTCCGTTCGACTCTCAAAATGGTTTGAAAACCAAGGCGCAGCTTCTGATTGGCTGCAGGAGCTTCCTGCACTCAATCCGAAGCCGCGGAAGCAGCATTGGACGTTCGGCTTCCAAAAAACATCCGCAAACCGGAACACTCACTTCCGGGTTTGTGGCATTCGGGAGCTGATTTGTTCAGGAGCCAAGCTGTTCGACTACCAAGGTACCACTGTACCTCTTTTCAGTGGTCTTCAGGGAAGAAGAAGAAGAAGAGTTTGGATTTGATATCCCGCTTTATCACTACCCAAAGGAGTCTCAAAGAGGCTAACAATCTCCTTTCCCTTCCTCCCCCACAACAAACACTCTGTGAGGTGAGTGGGGCTGAGAGACTTCAGAGAAGTGTGACTAGCCCAAGGTCACCCAGCAGCTGCATGTGGCAGAGCGGAGACGTGAACCCGGTTCCCCAGACTACAAGTCTACCACTCTTAACCACTACACCACACGGGCACAGAGGACACCGTTTTAGATGGATGAGTCTGAAAAACACCCCTGCCATAGACCCTGGAGAGCAATTGCCTACTGATGTGCAGAGAATACTGAGATGGACCAACAATCTGGATCTGAGCTGATTATGCCACTTCAATTCTACTCTTTGAATTATTCATTCTGTACTTTTCAAAGGGACAAAACAAAAAACCCCAGAAAAGGTGTTTCCGAGCACATTTTCAAAGTGCAACACCCCAGGCAGAAGAGTCTGGCTCCCGTTAAAGAAAAAAATATGCATATGCTTAAACAGAATGTGAAGAGATATTATTTGAATAACCCTTCAAAGGAGGTGTTATCCTTCAAATGAACAACAACTTTCTCTCCTTGCAGAGGCCCTCTTTCCTTCACCAAGATTCAGGGACAATTTCACACATGAAGAGAAGAGTGTTGCTGTATACTGACTTCCTAGACCAGGGTCAAAGTGCCTGTGGTCCTCCAGGTGTTTCTGGACTCCAACTCCCATTGTGACCAGTGGTTAATGGGAGTTGTAGTCCAGCCACATCTGGGTGGCAGTAGGCTCCCCATACCCTTTCAGACAACAGCAAACATGAGCAAGCTGAAGAATGGCTTCTCTCCTCCAAGTTGTTATAAACTGGGTATAGATAGAACTTCACTATTCATTGGCTCAGTTGATTCAGGTTGAACAGTATCGTCTCAGTGGATAGCTTTCAGCCTATCCCTGCTCTGGAAGGGCAGGACTCGAACCAATGGCTTCATGTTACAAGGAATGAGGTTGGACTAGATCAGGCATAGGCAAACTCAGCCCTCCAGATGTTTTAGGACTACAACTCCCATCATCCCTAGCTAACAGGACCAGTGGTCAGGGATGATGGGAATTGTAGTCTCAAAAATATCTGGAAGGCCAAGTTTACCTATGCCTGGACTAGATGAACCTTAGGTCCCCTCCAACTCTACAATTCTATTATTCTATGACTCTAGGAACATTAATCACCTTTGCCTAGAAGTTGCTATTGGTGACCTAGGCTGCAATTCAATATCAACTTTGCCTGGAAGCGGTAAGCCTCACTGGAGCTTACTTTCATTTATTTTATTTATTTCTTTTTTTTGTTTGTTTGTTTTATTAATTTTTCTATACCGCCCTTCATCCAAAGATTTTTGGGTGGTTCACAGAATAAAACCACGAAGTACATAATAGTAATAAAAGGTAAAGGGACCCCTGACCATTAGGTCCAGTCGTGGCCGACTCTGGGGTTGCGGTGCTCATCTCACTTTATTGGCCGAGGGAGCCGGCGTACAGCTTCCGGGTCATGTGGCCAGCAGGACTAAGCCGCTTCTGGCGAACCAGAGCAGCGCACGGAAACGCCATTTACCTTTCCGCCAGAGCAGTACCTATTTATCTACTTGCACTGGTGTGCTTTTGAACTGCTAGGTTGGCAGGAGCAGGGACCAAGCAACAGGAGCTCACCCTGTCGCGGGGATTCGAACCACCGACCTTCTGATCGGCAAGCCCTAGGCTCTGTGGTTTAACCCACAGCGCCACCCACGTCCCAATCCTACATGTTATGGCAGTGAATTTCCTACATTAACTACGACCCTCTCTAACTGGTATGGTTACTCAGCGATATAATGCTAATTTAAACAACTCATAAAGGAAAGGCAGACACATTTTACACTCTCCAAATGCAAAATAATATTAATGATTTTAAAAATCCTTGAGGTATCCCAAGTCCAGGGCTAACCTCTTGACCCTGATAATCACTTCTGGGCAGAATCCTAGCTGCACTCATATTCCAGTTACTTTATTCCAGTTTTTAATTATGTGGATAAATGAGAGAGATGTTGAAATTGAGTTGGAAATAAACTCATCAGTGGATCATCTTATGCAACGGGAGGGGGTGAAGGAGAGAACTGGTGACATTTGCCAGCTAAAGAACATTTAAGTTTGCTTAGCTGTCAAGCTATCGCTCAGAACAAAAATAGACAGTGAGCTGTGTGCCAGAAACGGTTTAGTTATTCAAGGAGAAGTAGATTTATTCTGTAACATTGTTCTTCCACATCCACAATCCTCATCCATGAGTCTTTTTGCAGCTCTGATTGCTACAGAATTATTTCTCAGATATCATTATCATCATTATTATTTTAAAATGAATTAATTTCTAACTTTTAAGTATACCACCAGGAATCCATGTTTCTGATGAAGGAAAAATTTAGACCCCCCAACCCCCCAAAAAGTAATAATCATAAAGAATGCTTGAATGAGCGTTGTAATCAATACAGTGTTTGTCTAAGGCACTGTTCTCACTAAGGTGTCCACTTTCAGTATGTGGTGAAAGCTCACACAATTTTTTTAAAAATTAAGAACCTCTGTACCTGAAAATGTAAATCTAGGAGGTGGGGCCTATTTTTTAACTTGAGATGCTTGTTTTCTATGTGTGGGAAATTGTGTTTTCCATATAGAGGAGAGTTCCATCATATGAGCTCTCACCTACAGGTGGAAAAGTCCAGGCAAGGATGAGCACC